TTTCATATATTTTATAAAGCATACTAGCTTTGACTTTAAGTACATCTACTTTTATTGGTGCCAGACCTGCCTACAGGTCTTGGGTGGTTCACCTGCCAAGTAACTTCAATATCCCTGTAAACCTTGGAGTCACAGAATCTTACACACTCTGATGCCTAGGAGAAACTAACTATGGGCAACTAAACAGTGGTTGATTCGTGATTACAACTCTGGTCTTGCCGAAAAATCGATCATTCGCAGACTTGATAAATCAAGGTAAATGCATTCAATAGATGGTGTTACAGCATAAGATAGGGTTTTATGTTTAGATATGGAAAGACGTCTAGACACCAATTAAAATACATATTGAAAGAACCAAGTTGCACAGTATTATACGGCATTTTCTGACGTTTGCAAAAATATATACTTTTTCTAATTAAACATGCACACGTACACTAGCTAGAGATGAACAGTATAAGACATTTACTGTCAGTTTTCCCTGTAGAGCTGGATTTTCTCTTTTTTATATTGCTGTTACTGTTTGGATTTTTTATACTATGTTTGTACTACTTTTGCAACAAGAAAAAATACTTAAGATTTGTAAAAAGAAAAGGAAAAAACCTCCAGAAAACAAAAGCCACTCAGGTATCCTGTTTCCCCCTCGCTCTTTGCTCGCTTTGAAAATGCACAAGGTGACCCCCACCCAGGGCCCAAGAGCAAGGACAGAGCTGGAGGAGCAGGGGAGGGACAGGTATCCTTTGCCACATCAGTTACTGCTCTTCACGCTCTCTGCAAGTCAGGAGACCAGGGTGCTCTGAGCCATGGACCAGGAAGGCCACAGCAGACAGACAGAGGAAAGTTCCGGAACTGCCAGTCATCTGAGGAGCAACTTAAACCTCTGGCCTTCCACAAACATGTATGTTTCTCTGTGCCTCAGTTTCCTTACTTATACAAGTTTTCTGGTGGGCAGGGTTCTGGTGAGAAAGAAACCCTGAACAAGATGTCTGGCCTCCCAGGCCAGGGCAGCCTGTCAGCAGCACCAGCACTACATAAGCTCCGAGGTGGCTGTGGAAATGTCAGCATGCAAAGTGCATCCTGGACAAGCACAAGAAAACTATTTACAGCCTGAGAAGGCCCCAATGGCCCCTTCCAGGAACCCGATTACTCTGTTTATGACTACTCAGGCAGCCAAGGATAAAGTGCCTCTGCTCTGTCAAATGGCAAAAGCTTAAGTGAAAGTGAACACCCCTCTCCTGGGACCCTGGGGTGGGAGGGACGGGCACAAATCACCGCCACCACCAGCAGCAAACCCAGCACACCACTGTCAGTTCAGGGTCCCATCTCTGTCAACAATAAACACAGAAATGAAAGGCTCACACTCCCACGGAGCTGACAGAAGCGAACGTTCAGCCCAGCCTGGGCTTGGTGCAGGTGGTAGATGGGTTGTTTGGTCCTTTTAGATTTTGCAGTAGTGCAGAGACCTTCTGAAAGCCCATTCCCAGAGCCCTGTGTCGCTTTGTTTTCCTGCTTAAAGACAGGGAGCTTTAGAGACAGCAATTGCTCTTTGCTCCATGAATAACAGTGATATTATAATGGCAGAGTCCTGGCTGGTTCTGGTTTTACTCAACCAAATGTGTTTCTGAAAAGCTGTATGTAAGTGGAATGGGCCTTAAAAAGCCCTGGCACAGAACCAGAAAACATTTCTGAAGAAAAAAATGCATCAAAGCTTTTATGGGTTCTCTATGAGGGCTGGGAGGGGGATAATGGAGGAATTTCCCTGTCCTCATGAAATATTTCTTTTCTGTTTGAGTTTTCACTAAGAGCATAAATTATGTAAGCAGAAAAAAAGAACAGAAATGTATATACAAAAGGAGCCCACTGGGCACTCCTCGAGCCTCACAAAGTGTCTTCTGGTAACAGAGTAATCACCCCTTGATGTATCTGCTTATCTTTGGAGGTCAGTGTTTGTAGGCAGAAAAAACAATAATTTCTCTGAGGGACACCTCTGCTACTTAAAGGAGCCTTGCAAAGTCTCTTTCTGTAGCAGATGAATCAGCTCTTCATTTTTCGTCTTTTCTCCAAATGTCAGTATTTGTGTACTTCCAGTTTTCCTAAAGACAGACACACTTGCATTCGGTGGACCAGAATCTGACAGAAAATGTGACCATCCAGGCACTGATGATACAGAGACTGGTTGGGGCAGGCTTTGTCCTTGTCCCCCAGACGTCCTTGGGAAGGTTCATGTGACCAACAAGACCTCACGGAACTTACAACAGTAAGACCAGTCAGGTGGTGCCCCTCCCCATCCACTGGATCTGTAGGAAATGTCTCCAAACAGCTCATCTTGGGGTACTGTCACAATGCAGAAGAATTTGGGTGCCAGGTCTCACTGGCCCCTTCACCTTGCTCCATGGCTGACGGCTAGCTGAAGCCCAACAAGTTCTTGCCATCCCCAAGGCAGCTTCAGATCCTGCTGAGCAGTGTGTGGCGTGGAAGTGGATGGGGGGTGGGGGCGGGGGGAGGAAAAGGCTCACTAAAGAGAATCATAGCAAGGAAGAGAACTCAGAGACCCTCAAAAAGGGACAGCAGGGCTCAGTGGTTACAAGAGAGGCTTCTAGAGCCAGGCCAAATCCCAACACTTCCATTTATCAGCTGTGTGACTTTCTTCAAAGCACTTAGTCTCTCTGCGCCTCAGTGTCCTCACGTCACGGGGTTGTCTGGAGGATTCAATGACATAATACATATGAAAATGCTAAGAACCTATTAAGCACTATATAAATGTTAGCTATGGTCAGCATCGTCAGCCTGCAATGTCTGGGGTCTCCGTCTCCTGCGGGCTGCCAGTGCGGAAAGCGAAGGGCTCCTAGTGTTGCCCCTCCTCAGACTCAAGCCGGATGAACTCTCATCTCTAGGCGTTTGGAGGAAGTTGCACTCAGAGCTTCTGCTCGTGTATTGACACGAGTTATCATGGAAGCATTATCAACAGGAATCATCAGCCCGCTTGTACCAGACAGATCTGCGCGGGAGGGAGGTACACTACCCCCGACACGTGCCCAAGGTCACGGGGCTCCTCCCCCCGGCCAGCCATGGGCCGTGGGGCAGTCACGTGACAGCGCGGCCTTGGACGGGATAGGTTCCCCACAGCGGGTTAAAAGGACTAGTTGCTCCGTCGCCGCCATTGGTGCTTCTGCCGCATGCGCAGTTCGCACGCCGCCGTGGGTCCGGGTCATGCGTGATCCTCGTGACAGCTCTGGTCTCTGTGCAACCTGGCCACCACCTTCCAGCTCCGACCACCCCTCAGGAGACCAATCGGAGGGTGTGAAGCTTCCAAGATCTGAGGCATCATCCAAACGATCAATTACACAAGTCGGGTAAAGATGCAGCTGTTTGCTTTACTTTCGAAAGTCATTATTAGTGGGGTGATTCCCCCATTTAAGGAAACGGAGCCTCAGAGCAATAAAGTGACTTGCCGGTGGGCTCCAGACTAGGGCTCGACCTTAGGTCTCTTGGCTCCACACGCACAGGAAAGGGCTTCCGGCTCACGGGTCAGTGCTGGAGGGCGGGGTGGAGGCACGGAACAGACGCACAGGCATCCCGCTCTGGCTTCTCCTCCACCGCTCAGCCTCTTCCCCTTTATAAAGGGGCTCAGTTGACACTGGCTCCCTTTCCCTGCCCCGACCCCTGGCCCACCTGCCGCCTAGTCCAGCCTCCCCAGCCTGGTCACAGTCCCTTTGTCCTAGGGCTAAGATGTCAGAGCAGGGCTGTGGGCACAGACATGCCTCCATGATCCCCAGTGGGAAACAGGCCCTGGGGTGGGGCTGCTGCTGGCACTGCCCGCACCCCCGTCCAGACACAAGGTCAAAGACAAATGACAGGTCTCCTCACTGAACCCAGCCATTCTGCTCTCCTGGGACTGACCCAAAGCTGCACTACCCCAGCGTGGCCCTCAGCATGGAGAGTGCAGAGTGGGAAACCACAAAATTCTCTTTCACCAAAACGTGCGTGGGCTGTCGGCCCAGAGCTCTGCCTTGGAGCGCTTCTCCCATTAAACATCACACACAGACAGACACAAACAAATGGAAATCTCCGCCCAGGCAGGCCTCCCCACTCACTCATCCCCCAGGGCCTAACACCTACACTTCTCAGCTTGCCCTCCCGAAGTTTGCATGACACCCCAAAGCAGCAGCGTGCAGGGGACGGCACGCGGGGCCCGCTCTCAGGAGCTCGTGCTCGTGGGTCGCAGGAGAGGAGAGAAAGAGCTGCCCCCCGCCGCCACAAACTGGAAGAAATACAGGCATGGCCACAAACACACGGACACGCACCCTCTAGCAGGGTCCGGCCACACACATTTTGTTTTACAGCCGGTCTGGTTCTGCGTCTCCCACCTCCTTCCACGTCTTCTCAGGAGAGGAGGTGCCCGACAGCTTCGGGAGGAAGAGGCCACACGCGGTGGGCAAACAGCAAAACCAAGAGGGAAAGGAAACTGTCACCATCAGTGGGAAAAGGAGGAATGAAGCTTTGGGGGACTGAAGAGCAGGTTGTAGAGAGAGGAACGAAAACACAACCAAAAAGGATTTCATAGAAGCCATTATTTCCCCAAAGGGCCAACAAATACCATGACTACATGGTCCTTACTTTCAAACACATTTTCTCTTTCTGGTTCAACCTTCAGAATTACCCAATCATAGGAAATAACCAACTTGAATAAAATACAAAAAGTCTTAAAAACACACACACATACAGAAGCTCAAACCTCCCCCCCACCCCAAAACAAATATCGAATGCTAGAAAGTCTAGGCATGCTTTTGATTTTAAGTATGTTAGTTTTTTTTATCTATGTGTTTCAATACTAGCTGAATTAAACAACTGACCTCTGCCCACGGGACGCGTTTTCCTGTACTACACAAAGTCACATTTGCGCCAGCTTCATCCCAGCCTCCTCTGTGTACCTCTATACCCAGGCGGAGCCGGTGATACAAATGCGTGGACAGTGACAATGGAGAAAATGCTTCTGTACTCACATTTGTCCCAGGGGAAGCCGAAGGAAATGCGGGATTTGACTGAGCAAATGACCTTGCTGGAATGGCCGCGTATGATGATCCAAGATTTGAGGCATAATCTAAATGATAAATTACACCAGCTGTGTGAAATCCTAGTCATTTACTTTACCTTCAAAAGTCATTATTAAGATGTAAGTTGGAAAAAAAAAATAAAATTTCCTCTTCATATATTGATAAGTGATTGGTGTGATTTTTACCCCTGGGCATATTGACAACAAAGATTTATGTCTCTAAGAGCCTAGACAGTAATGCCAATATACTTAGTGTCTTGGGATCTGTTTGCTTTACATATATACATATAGATGGTGGGGGGCGGGTAGGATAGGGCACATGGGCAGGGAAGTTTGTTATTAAAGACCTGACATCATAAGCCTTTGGAACGCTGGTTTCTGCTTCAAGCTGCCCACCCGAAGGGCCTTACTCACCTTCAGAGTTCCCAGCAGGGTTATAAACGGCTGTGCTATTTGGAGAGGAACACAGCGTTCCCTCTGCCGAACCGAGTACACACCGGATACCAGCACTGGAGAGGGGTGGAAAAGGGGAACCAGGATCTCAATAAGTTAAATGAAGAATTACCATATGACCCAGAAATTCCACTCCTAGCCATGGGCCCAAAATAGTTAAAAACCGATGTTCAAACAAAAACTTGAACATGAATGCTCATAGCGGCACTATTCACAATAGCCAAAAGGTAAAAACAACCCAAATAGAGATCAAAAGATGAACAGATAAACAACATGTGGTACTTACATACGATGGGATATTATTCAGGCATAAAAAGGTTATATATGCTACAACATGGGTGAACCCTGAAAATATTCTGCTGAGTGAAAAAAGTAATAAAAGGTCATATATATTAAATGACTCCATTCGTATGAAATGTCCAGAAGAGGCAAATCCACAGAGATAGAAAGCAGATTCGTGGTTGCCAAGGACTACAAGGGAGGGGAAAAGGGAATGACTACTTAATGGGTATGGGGTTTGGGGTAATGAGAATGTTCAGGAACTCCATAGTGATAATATTAGCACAACCTTGTGAATCTGCTAAATACCACTCAATTGTACACTTTAAAATGACTAAAATGGGGGCATCTGGGTGGCTCAGTCGGTTAAGCATCTGACTCTTGATTTCAGCTCAGGTCTTGATCTCAGGGTTGTGAGTTAAGCCCCACATTGGGCTCCACCCTTGCTGTGGAGCATACTAAAAAAATAATAAAATATATTTACTAAATATATATATTTATATATAATAATAATAATATATTACTAAAAAAATAATAAAGATATAAAATAAAATGGTTAAGATGGTGAATCTTAAGTGAATTTTAACACAGTAAAAAAAGAGGGAGCCAGAAAAAGGGGACCCTTATAAAATTATTTTTTTTAATTGTGATAAAATATACATAACACAAAATTTACTGTCTTAACCATTTCTAAGTGTACAATTCAGTGGCATTAAGCACATTTACCTTGTTGTATAGCCATCACCACCATCCATCTCCAGAACTCTTCATCTTGCAAAACTGAAGCTGCCCCCATTAAAAACGAACACCCCACTTCCTCTCCCTTGAGCCCCCAGCAACCACCATTTTGCTTTTTGTCTCTATGAACCTGACTCTTCTAGCTACCTCCTATTAGTGGAATCATCCAGTATTTGTCCTTCTGTGACTTGCTTACTTCACAGAGCACAATGTCCACAAGGTTTAGTCATGTTGTCACAGAGGTCAGAGGTCCCTTTTCTAAGGCTGACTAATATTCCAGTGTATTGATAGACTACATTTTGTTAATCTGTTCATCTGTCAGTGGACATTTGGGTTGCTTCCACCCACTGGCTATTGTGAATAAGAAAGGGAAGCCTTTTCGATGTACTTCTCTCAAAACACTCAAGTCCAGTCTGCTGTTCACATCTTGGGCCATGTGCCCTCTCCTCTGCCTGGAGGACCCCAGCCCCCTGCTTACTGCTCTGCCCTCAATCCGTCCCTTTCTCTTCTCAGCCCAGCAGCCACGGCCCCGCTCGGTGGAGCCAGAGAGCATCACTCCTCTGTTCAGCTCTCTGATACTCCACTCACTCTCAAAGCAAAAAGTCCTCACAAGAAGCCCAGGAGCTCAGGATCTGGGCCCCGGCACCTTCCCTGGCTCCTCACCCCAGCACTCCGCTCTCGTCACACCGATGTTGCCTGAGCATCCCAGGGCCACACCAGGGCCTTCAAACTTGCTGTTCTCTCCACCCTGGGAGTACCTGTCCCCCAGACAGCCATGAGCTCATTCCACTCCCTCCTGAGGTGTCCTCAGAGAGGCCCTTCCCCAACCACCCTATTTAAAATGCAAGGGCCAGCCCCCTGGAGGGCACATGCATGCGCCCACATGCTTCCTGCCCTGTCCTGACGCTGTTTTCTGCTTAGGTTCACCACCAGGGATGCTACCGAAGTCACTTGTTTATTTTATCATCGGCTCCTCTCACCCACGTTAAGTATAAGCTCCTTGAGGACAGGGACGTTGCCTGTTTTGTTCTCTGCCGCTTCCCCAGCACCCAAAACAGAACATGCCGTAGGTGCTCAATGAATATTTCCTGAGCATCTGCATGCGCCTGTTCTCCTGGCCAGCACTCACTTTTCAGAGAAGACCAGGCATTTCTGAGCATGTAGTTTCCCTTTCACATGCAGCTCCCAGTCCTAGACCAGAAGGAAAGGAAAGTGACCGAAGTAGAACTGAGTCCATGAGAAGGAAAGGGACGAGGGCAGGCTTCCCCGTCAGGCTGGGGCCCGGGGGGGTGGGGGGCGGCTCAGAGCCCAGAGATAGGACCAACCCTGCCAACACCTCTCCCTCCTGGGCCCCTCCCCACACCTGCTTTCCCGTCCATCCATCCATCCGTCCAGCCCCCACATCCTGCACCCATCTTGGACAGGAGCCCAGAATCCCAAGCCAGAGTCCCTCCTCCCCTCTCAGTGGACCCTTGGTCTCATGGCACCTCCCACCTCCCCCTCCCTTTCTCCCCCCCCCCCCAGAAACACCCCACCCATTTCTATGACTGGTTGGGGAAATCCTGGCAGGTGGACTCACAGTGAGCTGCCAAGCTTAAGAAAGGCTTATGAGGGACAAAATTGGCCATCGCCTCGCAGTGTCGGCCACCCCCGTCTCCGCCACTGATGGCAGGGATAAACTTGCACAGTGTGACCCAAGCAGAGGCAAAGGACACTGTGGCGTGACTCCCACCACACCGGGATCACCGTGCTCTGCAGACAGTGTGGGCAAAGAGAGGCTGCTTAAGAGTGCTTAAGCCGCACAGGTTCTGGGAGCACCAGACCCACGTTCGAGTCTCCACTCTGCCGCTCTCTAGCTGCGGGGCCCTGGACAAGTCCTTTCCTCTTTCTGGGCCTCGGTTTCCTCATCTGCAAAATGAGACTGATAATAGGATCTACCTCACAGCGTTACTGCTGGCATACGGAAAGGATTTATTATATGTTAGCTCTTTTAATATTATCACTTTGGAATATTTCACTGCATCATTAATACATTTGGGGGGGGCATTTATACTATAACAGACCTTTGCTTACATGGGCCCAAAGCATCTTATGACCACGGGGAAGGTGTGATGAGGCTCCGTCTCCATCTTGCAGATGGGAAACTGGGGCGCTCTACAGTGATGTGTCTCGGTCTCACCTGAGAAGTGCTCTCTGGCCCGCATCCAAAATTCGGCCAGCGTTTTCCTCCCCTTCCATACTCAGTACGATGTACTCTGGGCATACCAGAGAGGAAGAGCCCTCCTCAAGGAGGCAGGAGACCAGTTCCTGAGTCCCTTCTCTGTCACGCCGCTGGGGTCACCTGAACCCCCGCTCGGCTGCAGCTTTCTCTTCAATAAACATGGGTAAGGATCTCTTACTTGCCTTAAAGCAAGGGAGTGGCCCTGATACATTTCTGAGATGAATGTGCGTTCTAATAACTATAATTTTGATCGAGGGCGCCTGGGTGGCTCAGTTGGTTAAGCGACTGCCTTCGGCTCAGGTCATGATCCTGGAGTCCCGGGATCGAGTCCCGCATCGGGCTCCCTGCTCAGCGGGGAGTCTGCTTCTTCCTCTGACCCTCTTCCCTCTCATGCTCTCTCTCAAATAAATAAATAAAATCTTTAAAAAAAAAAAAAAAAAAAAAAAAAAAAAAAAATTTTGATCGAGGGTACCGATGGCAAAATCCTGCCACCGAGTCCCCAAATGGAACCGTTCCTAGCTCCCGAGGAGCAAGTGTTGGGCTGTGGTCGTGAGCCCCCCAGGCTCCAGCTGTGGCTCCCGGGCTGGCGTGGAGGACTCACCTTCAAATCAAACGCCTTCTTGTCGCAGATGCTACAGATGTGTGGCAGGTGCAGGGGGGCCACACCGTGAAAGTCATTCAGCTCGTGAGCCTGCAGGGGCCGCACGGACAGCAGAGCCTGCTCCTCCTTGGCCCGCCGCCGGGCACCGCTGAAACCCTGCTTGCTGTTGTTAAGCCGACCCCCAAAGGAAGGAGGGGTCCTGTCTGGGGTGGGCTCCTCGGGGTCATACAGCTCATAGGGCTGGCTGCGGGGTGGAGGCCACAGGTTAGGGCCTGCCGTAAGATCGGGCTTGCTTTGGCCAGAGAACCCGTGGGGGCTCTCCCACTGGCTATTTGGACCCTGCAGCAGCGGACCTACCTCGCCTTTCATGCCCCCGGCCTGCTCAGCCGCGAATCCACCTGCCACATGCGACCCTTGGGAGTCGGGTCCGTAGAAGTCCTTGGAAAAGGCAGGTTGGCCATCTTGCCCTGAGTGGCTGTAGGGCCCTTCATAGGTCACACTGCCCGTGGTAGAGGCCACGACTGGCAGGAAGCTGGGCTGGCCGTCTGTTTCAGAGCCGTACGCCTGGCTGGAGTTGGCCTTGCCATACTCGTAGAATCCTGCTGCAGTGGGAGCAGGTGCAGTCTTGCCAATGCCCAAGATGACTGCTGGCTGGGCAGGGGTCTGAGGCATGACCCCACTGAAAGGATGCATCACCACGGCGTTGGGGGGCTGGCTGGGAAGGCTCACGGAGGGTCCTGGGCCTCGTGTCTGGCCGGGGGGTGAGAAGGCAATTGCATTAGAGGGAAACCGGGCACTGGATATGGTTGCAGCATGTTGGGGCACCCCAGTTTGGCTGTGGGGGGCGCTGATCACAGACGGATGCCTCAGCTGGTTGAAGAGAGGCTGGGACATGGCCACTTTGGAGAGGACTTGGTTCAGGACTGAGGCGGCCGCGGTGTTGTTGGTGACAGCTGTCTGCGCCAACTTCAGCCGGTGGAGGGTGAGCTGGGCTTGCAGCTGAGCCAGCTGGAGGCTGGCAGGCGAAGGAAGCAGAGGGTTCGCGTTACTGACCGAGAACGGGTTCTTGTCCAGGAGCTTGGCGGCACTGCAGAAACACAAAATCTAGATGCACAGCTAGTTTTCACCCAGGGCGCCAGGGGCTCTTTCTTCGCTTATCCCTGGTCCCCTATCTCCTATAAAACCCACCCACGCAAACCCCACATACAAGTGAGTCTGCAAAAAGCCTGTACTCACACATACACCAATTTGTTTAAAAACTCTGACAGAAAAAATTATTTTACGACAGAATGGTCAATCTCACTGGTAATCAGAGACACAAGCTAAAACCAATAGAAAAAATTTTTTCTCTAGCAAAATAGCAAAAAAATATATATTTTTTTTACTAAGAGCATTCAGTACTGATAAGATAAAGTAGACTGGACACAATGTTAGTGATAGTCTAAACTTGTGCAACTTTGTTAAAAGATAGCCTGATAATCTGCATTCATTACAGCCATACTCTTTGACCTAATAATTCAGTTCTATAAATCTGTCCTAAGGAAATAATGCAGACAAAACTTGCCCAAAGGTGCTTAATAATACTACATCATTTAAGAGTCCAAAGTTGAAAATTACCAATTTCCGATAACAGGGGTTAGGAGACAGTTTAAACGAAGTAAATTATGATATATCTACATAATAAAATGTCAAGGAATCATTTACGATTGATGTAAATTTCTACTTTATTATGTAATCTTTAAAACATTCAAAAAAGTATACCCAACACCAAGGTTAAAATAGGAAACATTCCAACATACTAAAATCCCCTGGTCTCCGCTCTCCCCATCCATGCCGCACCCCATCATTGCCAATGGTAGATACTATCTCGAATTTGGTAAGGTCATTGTTTACAACAACAACAACAAATTAGTGACATGAGCAAATCCATATACTCTATATGTTAAGCAAAAAAAAAAAAAAAAAAAGCAGGCTTCACATTCACATCCAGAGTAAATTATGTGTATATTTGTGCCAAACACATTTTCATCCCAATCCTCATTTCACATCCAAAAGCAACAGTAATCAAGCTCCCTTCAATCCACTCTCAAACCCAACTAGCATAAGGAATAATCAAAAAAGTTACAAGTGAAGACTTTGAATCTGAAGTCGTAGGCAGTGGTAGGCACTCACAGAAGCTTACTGAGGCGGTGTTCTGTCCTACACGTGCCTTTCATGTGACCTCTGTTAGTTGGTTGTGGTGTTTCCTTGACCAAAAACCAGGATGCACGATCTGGAAAGGGGACAGACCTTCCCAGAAAGTCTGGATAGGTGGTTACCATTGTCAGGGCTCTTTGGTAAGACCGTATTTTCTGGGTCTTCAACTCTCCTTCTGGGTAGTGGGTGATCGAGGAAATGTGTTTGGGATGTTGATGAACTGGAATTCCCAGGTCATGTTAACGTTAATGGGAAGAAGAGGACTGAGCATTTGAAACTGGGGTTACCATGGACAACCCAGGCTCTATATTCAGCATGCCTATGGGAGTGTGGGGCAGAAATAGCAAGGCTGGGACCCTTCACACAAGGTCTCCACTGTCACAGGCTCTGGACAGAGTAAGTCTGATGAAACAAAGAAGAGAGAGGCTGGGGGTGGACCCAGTGAGGAAAAAAGGGGAGACAAGGAAAGTGTGGGCCATGTCACAGCTCTCCCACTTTGTGGAGATGTTTTGAGGAAAGAGGGCTTCTGCTTAGGCTGGCACTTTGCATTGGTCTGAGAGAACCGTGGGAGGCAGGGAGGAGGTGTGGAGGTGGTAGAGAGGAAGGTGAATAGGAGAGAGCCTAACATTTACTGTGCGTTATGCTCCTGTGTGACCAGTGCTCAGCCTATGTCATCCCCTTTGATGTCTCCATCAGTCCTATTGGGTGGAAAAGGTTCACCCCATCTTGCAAGGCAAGAATCTAAAGTGCAGAAAGATGAGGTGACCTTCTTACAAACACTCACCGTTGGTGAATACAGGCGTGGGATTCAAACCCCAGCCAGGTTTTGAAAAGAAGAGAAGGGGCATAGGTGGTTAGGTAAGCAGTGTCTCAGCCCTCCCTGAGAACACCTTCTCTTCATGGGCTGCAGCACTGCTTTGTTTGAAGTGAGTTCTCCGAACATCAGGCACACCAATATTCAAACATAAGTGTAAAACACACTTCAGAGCCAGATAAAAATGATTTTGGATTACTCTTTCCCATTCTGTGAGAAATCAAGAGTTTTCCATAAGTCACTGAAGAGACATTACCTTCACCCAGCCAGCAGCCCTGCTGTGCTCCCAGGACAGAAGAGTTTGGCTGTATTTTAAGATATTGGGGGGCTGGGGGAGTCATGGTTAAAGGTGGCTACAGAGCTTTCCTCCTCTGGAGTAGTTGTGCTGGTTATAGCCAAGCCTTGGTGCCCCAGTGTGTCCGGAGAACAAATCATGACAGCAGCAGAGCTAGGGAGGCACTAATTGTCTATGTAGGCGAGAATATGAAGGGAAAAGAGAATGGTCAAGAGTCTGATGAAAGATTTCTACTTGTGTAGTATTAAGTAGCTGAGCTTTAGAAGAGCAATTAAGCTTAACACAAAACCCTGCCCACACAGGGCCAACCCTTCCTACCAGGTTTGTCCACAACACAGCCTGTCCCCACTAACAAGGTGATAATGAGGTGCCAACTTAATTTCCATGACCAGGGTAACACAAGATTGGTTTTGTTTTTCCCAGATAAGTCAGCTGTATTTTCTAAAACTGTGTTCTGGACTGGAGGGAGCTCTTGCAGGAGATTCCCCTTCACCTCTGAAAGGACATGCGAGAAGAGCTGTCTTTCCAACTAGGAAAGCCAACCTCGCTGGGTATTTGTAGGTCAGCGACAAGAAACAAGTGCTCTTCCGAGTGGCGCGGGTTACAGAAGTTTACCCATTCCGACGCAGCATGAAATAAGAAGATTCACAGATTTTCTTCCCAACTTCTGCTTTGCCTCACAAATTCATATTGTCCCCAACCTTCACCAACTTTGAGTGGAAGTGATTTCATATGAGTCACCAGAGTTAGGGACCTCTTTTGAACCAAAGATCCTTAAAAAAGAAGAGACACATCATCCTATTAAAGAAAGAAAGAGAGAGAGAGAAAGGAAGGAAGGAAGGAAGGAAGGAAGGAAGGAAGGAAGGAAGGAAGGAAGGAAGGAAGGAAGGAAGGAAGAAAGAAAAAGCAAGCCCTAAAATCCTTAGCCTACAAGAGTTAATAACCTAAAAGTCAGGTACATATAGCAATCATATTTCTAAGCCCCAAACTGGGCCATATGATCTGAGATCTCTAGGGGCTAGAACTAATGTCACCTTCTTGTATTCCTGCCACCTCCGTTTGTCACTGTTACCTCACTTAACACATCCTGCTTTGTGTTAAAAATAATTGCTTATGTACCTTTCTCCCTCTACTAGACATAAGCTCCACAAGGGAAAGGGGCATGGCGTGGAGATTTTCGCATCATCCTGGCATGCTGCCTCGTACCTGGTAGTCACTCAGTAACTTCAGTGAATGGAATGAAGAAGGAACATAATGGATGTGGCTCATCAGAACCTGGTGGCTTTAAGATGGGGACCCCTCATTTGACAGTAGACATCTCTGTGGATAAAAACCCTCAAACAATTCAAAAAAGAGAATCTAAATATACCCAGAAAGCAAATGGATTTTGCTGTTGTATACAGCATAAACCCCAACCAGGTACAGAGTCACTTGCCTAGAAGAGTGCCTACCATTCCCCATTCCAAAGCAGGAGTTCCAACACATCCTTCTCCCTGCCCAAGTCTAGGTTTTGAAATTGAATGAATAATCCTTGTGGTAGGCTGAATAATCCTATCTTAATCCCCAGAAACTGTAAATGTAACCTTACATGGTAAAGGGGACTTTGCAGGTGTGATTAAATTAAGGATCGTGAGATGGAGAGATTATCCTGGATTATCTGGGTGGACCCGATATAATCATAAGAGTCCTTATAAAATGGAGGCAGGAGGATCAGAGTCAGAGAGAGAAGATACAAGGACAGAAGCAGAGGTCTGAGATGAAAGCAGAGGCAATGCTGGGGCTCTGAAAACGGAGGAAGGGGCCACGAGCCAAGGAAATGCAGGCACTCTCTAGAAACTGGAAAAGGCTAGGAAATGAATTTCCCCTTAAGCCTCAAGAAAGAACCAGCCCTGCTGACACCTTGACTTTGGCTCTGTGAGACTGATTTTGGATTCCCGACCTCCAGAACTGTAAAATAAGAAAGTTGTGTTGTTGTGAGCCACTCAATTTCCAGTAGTAGGTTACAGAAACAATAGGAAACTAATATAATCCAGCAAGAAAATTAGATGTAAGAGAAGCTTCCACTCAGAGACGCAGTGGTGGGTACAGGGGTATTGGCTGGATCTGGTTGGTATAGACTCATGCCCCCCAAGGGCCTAGGAAGCACAGACCTTCTGACTGGGTGTCCCAACACCCTCTGGGAACCTTGCCAGAAGCCAGCAAAACCCAGAGGTCTCTTCCTTTTCAAAGTCAGCTTTCTTTAACCCAGCTGGATCAGTGGCAACCTGGGAAAGCTTTGAATTGCAGACCTTTAGGGATCAAATCATCCTCCCAGCCCCACAACAAGGAGAGAAAGTGACCTGCCCAGAGCCACATAGCTGGGTGACAGCAAAAATCTTAGTGAGAGCCCAGATCATCCAACCAGCTTCTAGTGCCTGACAGAATAGCCTTGCCTCCAAAAGCCTAACTAAGCCCCAGAACTATCTATTTCATCACCAAATTATCATCTCCATCCATATTTATCTCTCCACTATGTTCAGAGAGATACTGACTACCTTTGATACGCAAGGCACTCGCCAAGCACCAGGGAGATGCAACGTGCAGTCCCCTTCTGGGATCCCCACAACTCCGGACGTGGTAGCGGGGATGCCCCCTTGTCTGGTGAGGGGGGAGGGGCAAAGTCCTCCACACCTGCTGCATTTCTTCTCCTGAAACTGTGCAGTGGCACAGTTTGCAGCCAAGGAGTGGAAGTGTGGACCGGGGAGGAGGGCGTGCCGCACAGGGAGTTCTGTAGCCTGGGCAT